CAGTGCGGTATTAAGCCCGAAAACACTGAAGCCTGGCAGGAGCAGCCGGTGGCTGACTGGGAGCTACCAGCACGTCGCGCGGCTGGGACAGTGGGGAGGATGTTCCTGGGACCTGATATGGGTTGAAGAGACAGCGGGTGCTGGAGAGGTGAGGAGCAGGCGAGTGATGCGCAGTGCAGGCAAAAGCAGAAGGGCCAGCTGCTGGGAGAACTCTCAGGAAAAGGGGGTGGGACAGTGCCCATCCACATCACAATGTCAGAAAACCACAGGTGAGAGGTGAGCAGTAATGAGGGTCTGCCATGATGCAGTGGGTGAGTGATGGTGGGCCCCCCACCCTGAGCAAAAGAGAAATGGGAAGAGGCCGGAGTCGGCTCCAGGCCCAGAGAGGGCTGACTTGATGCATGTCGTGAACAATCCGGACTTCTTTAGCTCCTTGCCTCTCTGCCAGCACTCCCCCACCCGCAGCCCCCTGGCAGCCCCTGCATCTGCAGACAGTTGAAGTAGCTAGTGTGTGAGGAAAGAGGGGAACAAGTAGGACAAAAAGCCCCTCCACACCCATTTCCCGCCCACCTCCTTTCCCTGCAGCAGGCCAGAGTAAAGGATGAGAGATGGGCATTGAATTCCTTTGGGGGTATTACTTTTAACTTTCAACTGGTTTTATAGCAGAGTGGGACTATGAAGAGTGTCGAAAGCAGACCAGAGAAAGCCTTGAGCATGGTTGGGTGGGTGTGGTCCCCAAACAAAACCAAACAAATGACAACTTAGCATTTCTAAAACCCACAACTCACTCAAAATGTTTTCTTAAGTGATTCTGCTGCCTTTGGTGGGGCATAACATTTAGGGATGATAACTACCTAAGATTTCCATATCTGTCACATATAATGAGAGGCATTGTGGGATGGAGAGGTGAGGAGGCAGATGTAGTCATTATCCAGAAGTGGCTGAGACTCAGGGGGAAGGAAATCAACTTAAATACAATGAGCTCCAGGGATTTCCTTCACCACGATACTGAGTTTTGTTGTTACTTCATCTTGCTTTGTGTTTGTTTTGTTTTGTTGCTGGATAAATGAGATAGGCTGCAAAATAACGTGATTAGCATAAGTCTGGCAGAATGTAAACTTGGCTGTACTAGAACACCTTCAATCCCCTCCGTCTGCCTGGGTTGGAACTGTGATTCCCCGGAGGGATGGAACCCCTGGAATGTGCACCCATGTTGATAAACTCAGCATGCGCTCAACTCAGTATCCTCTTGCCTCCTCTTGCCTGAGTGTCTTTTTTAGAATTTTCATTTTTCCTTTGATCTTTGCCTTCCAGATTCCACAATCTGTAATTCGACCAGCATATAACCCATCTTTATTTGATGTAGACTCAGTGAGACGGGAGCAGGAATACGATGGTCTAGAGTGGGGTGAATTTACCAGAAACCCCTGTTGTGTCCTACCCACCAGAAACCCCTCTTCAGTGGGAAAATTGTAGGGCCTGCAAGGAAACCATTTCCCTCATCAGGCAAAGAAGGCAAGACAGGACCTAGCTTTGACAGAAGATGATTGCTGAGCCTGGAATTCCAGCAGTTTGGCATTTCACAGGTTCAAATTTGGAAACTGATTTTTCCACTGCCTTCAGCCCTGGGTCTTGAGTTAAGAATGAAGTGGTGGAATTTGGTTTTTTGTCCTTAAGCTCTGCAGATGCCTCTTAAGCTCTTGAACTCCTTGTGTCCTTCCTCCCTCTCTGGGGCAAGACCAGTGTTGACTGTCTGCAGCCTTACTACACCAGGATCACAGACAACTAACTGAATTTGCATTTTGCCTCTGGATACCACTGCCTGCCAGATTCACACTCAGGAATATTAGGCTGCTTTTTAGAATCTTTATCTTTCTCCAGATGGCCTGGACTATGGTAATGATCAACACCATTAAAAAAAATTAATCAACATTTGGAGCGATAGCACAGCGGGTAGGGCGTTTGCCTTACAAGCGGCCAACAAGGCTGACCCGAGTTCGATTCCTTCGCCCCTCTCGGAGAGCCTGGCAAGCTACCGAGAGTATTCGATATGCCAGACACAGTAACAATAAAGTCTCCAATGGAGACGTTACTAGGCTCGCTTGAGCAAATCGACGATCAACGGGAGGGCCTTTAATCTAACACAACAGAAATTAATTCTGGGCTTTAAAAAAATCCATTTTCCTATAGAAGCTTCCTCCTGAGCAATCATTGAAAAGTAAAATGACAGAGGACTCCTCCTCCTTTAACCTGCAAATTCTCTTTCTTAGAAGGAAGGATGGGTAGAGTGCTTCTTCAGCCTTTTCTGATATCAGAACCACCTTCTGACAAATTGTTATTTCAGGGATCTTATTGCCCTTATCTCAGTACAGAGAGCCAGCTTTGTCAAACTGATACCAGCAGCACATATCCGGGGAAAAGCTGAGTGTTCTATTTTCATTTTTCTGAAAACTCATATTCAGTTTTCTTCTTCTTTTAAGATAATCTCTAATCTACAAAATCAAAATTAATTCCAACAACAATGAATACAGTCCCATTACTGCCTGTGGGGGAACAACCTCTGATAACTGACCTCCTCATCATTGTGGTACTGCCAGCCTTTCTCCTTTTTTTTTTTCCCTTTTTTGTATTTTCCAACCTCACAGCTGTCCCTGTAAACCTAAGGGCCCACCCAGACTCAGCAGGAGCACATTCTTCACCAGGTTTTAGATGACCTCCATTTCCTTTATTTAGAATTTGCTGATAATGTCCCCCGCTTATCCTCAAGGAGGATTATGATACTGTGATAATGTCCTACGATGATAATGTCCTCTTCCTAAAGGAAGTCAACTAAGAAAGATAAACCTCGAACTTTTCCAGAAGATAATGTGATCTAGGGGGCATATTTGAGCCACCTCCTCTTCTAGACACTCTCTTCCCTCCCCTCTCCTCGCCGGCTATATAGTTCACCACGGGCATGCTGGAATCTCATTCTCTGCTCTCAGATCCTGCCTTTGGCACTTACTAGTGATGGAACCTTCTTTCTGATCTCAGGTTTAGGGCTTTAAAATGGAGAAAACTGTACTTTCTATTTCAGGTTCTTGTGAAGACTCAATTACTTAGTATTTCTGAGGGCCCCCCTGAGACATTCTACGAGTGAAGCATCCCTGCTCTGACCCTACAGCAGTGGGGGGCGCCTCAGCCAGAAGGATCTTTCAGAGGAGCCCTGTGGTACCAGATCAAGCAGGACAGTTACATTCACAGCATGCACCTATCTCCTGTACTAGCTCTCTGGCCAGAGTTATATAAACACTTACAACAGAACCTGATGATAATAAATAAGGAGCGATAGCACAGCAGGTAGGGCGTTTGCCTTGCACGCGGCCAACATGGCCAACCCGAGTTCAATTCCTCTGCCCCTCTTGGAGAGCCTGGCAAGCTACCCTCCCCCGCATGGCAAAGCCTGGCAAGCTATGCCAAACACAGTAACTAGTCTCACAGTGGAGACATTACTGGGCCTGCTCGAGCAAATCGATGATCAATGGGAGTTTTTTGCCTGTAGGATTGTTTTCCAGTCTTTGACTCTGAACCTGTGTTTGCTTTGACTACTGAGATGTGTTTCTTGCAGGCAGCAGAATGTTGGGTTCAATTTTCTAATCCATCCTGCCACTCTGTGTCTTTTAATTGGTGAGTTTAGCCCATTGACGTTGAGAGAGATTATTATTATGGGGTTTTGTCCCATTTTTCTGTTGAAATTTGGTATATTTGAGGGGCCTGTCTTGTCTTAAAGTAGCCCATTTAATTGTTCTTGTAACCATGGTTTTGAGACTATGAAGTTCCTGAGCTGTTGTTTGTCTGTGAAACTGTGTGTTGTTCCTTCTGTTATGAAAGAGAGTCTCACTGGGTAAAGTATTTTTGGTGAGGCATTTATTTCATTGAGTTTTTTCACTATATCCCACCACTGTTTTCGGGCCATGAGGGTTTCATCAGACAAATCAGCTGTGAATCTTAAGGATGCTCCTTTATAGGAAATTTCTTTCTTTGATCTTGCTACTTTCAGAATTTTGTCTCTATCTAAGGTTTTAGTAATTTTGATCAGGATGTGTCTTGGGGTATTTTTATTCGGATTTCCTCTAGTTGGTACCCTTTGGGCCTCCTGAATGTGGTTGCATGTTTTCTTCAGCTCTGGAAACATTGTAGCAATGATGTCTTTGACAGTTTCTTCTTCATCAGGGTTTTCTTCCTGTCCCTCTGGGACTCCAATAATTCTTATATTACTCCTCTTGGCTTCATCACTATCTTCTCTTGCCATCTTTTCCCGAATTATGAGTCTCTTTTCCATTTTCTGCTCTTTTCTGGAGAGTGTCTGAACTTCATCTTCAAGCTCACTGATTCTGTCCTCAGCAGCTGTTACTCTGTTGCTGAGGCCAACCACTGAGTTTTTCAATTCGGCTACCAGGTTTTTCAGGTCTGACATTTCCGTTTCTAATTTTGTTTACATTTTCCTCATTTCTACCTTCAAATCCTCTTGTCTTTTATTGGCATTGCTCTCTGTTGTTTCTTTTAGCTCCCTAAGCATCCTCCCTAAGCACCCTTCTAAATTCCTTGTCAGAGAGGTTGTCTAGCGCTTCAATACTGTTGGTGTCTTCTGGGCTAGCCTCTTCAATCAGTAAGCTTGGTGGGCTTCTGTGTTGCTGTACCATTGTGACCTGTGTGGCTTAGACCTTCACACTCACTGTTACTATTCTGCTTGAGATGCAGAATGAATTGAGATAGACTTAATGAATTACAGGCTAATGTGTTTCTGGTTATTAAGCTAACCTAGTGAAAGTTCCATCTAAGAGGGTAACTTATGGTTCCTATGAAATATGTAGAGGAAGCATAACTCGTGGCCATAGCACCGGGAAGGGGCCCTGCCACCAGAAGGTACCTGGATGAATGAGGAGAGGGTGCCTGGAAAAGTTCCAAGTGAATTTTTTTATGTAAAATGACATATTTTATTTGCTTTTATTTCCTAATAGGGTCTGTGCTCCTTTCAGTGACTCATGCAAAGTGGTTCATCATGCGAAGGAGCTCGCTATGTTTCATTTCCCCTCTACTACCTTTCACTTACATTCCATACAGGAAGATGTCAAAAACAACAGCTACTCTTGGATCGTGAGTGGCAACAGGCGTGATTCACAAAGAAGTGATTTGCCTGTAACCACAAGATGACTCAGGTTAGTTGCTTTCAGATATTACTGAAAGTCAAATTATATGAGCTTTGGGGCACAATGCATGTTCAGCACTAAACAGAATAACAAATTAAGTTTACTTATTTTTTTACTTAGATGATAAAAATTAGGGTCAGAATGGTTAAAACAAAGAGATTTCAGGGACTGGATCACCAGGAACTGAAAGATGTGGTCCAGGCTCAGATTCTTTCCAAGCTGAAGAATTCCCACTCAAAGTGTGTTCCTTCACTCAGAACATGCCTTGTTAAAGTTGCCTTCTTCTTATCATTCTCATCTTGACCATTAAGATGACAATATTGAGGGCCAGAGCGATAGCACAGCTGTAGGGCATTTGCCTTGCACGCAACCCCTGGCATCCTGTATGGTCCCTGAGCACTGCCAGGGGTAATTCCTGAGTGCAGAGCCTGGAGAGTAACCCCTGAGCATCGCTGGGTGTGACCCAAAAAGGAAAAAAAAATTCTCTGTTTTGTGTTTGAAATGAGTATCTGAAGGAGCCAGAAAAATAGCTTGTTGGGCAGGAGGACATGTTTTGCATTCAGGAAGCCCAGAATTGATCCCTAGCACCTGAAGTGACCCTTAAGCACTGAGCTGGGAGTGACACCTGAGCACTACTGGTGAGGCTCAAAAAGAAAACAAATGAGTGCCCCAAATAAATCAGACATAATTGGCCAGTGACCAAACTTTGATAAAATATTACTCTGTGTGTGTGTGTGTGTATGTGTGTGTGTGTGTATACAGGACCATGGTGGAAGGAGCATAAAATACCAAAGTCCAAAAACAGACAGACAGGCACATATATATACACGTATATATGTATATGTATAATATAGCACTGCACTGTCCTCCCATTGTTCATCGATTAGCTTGAGCGGGCCCAGTAACATCTCCATTGTGAGACTTGTTGTTACTGTGTTTGGCATATCAAATACGTAATGGGTAGCTTGCCAGGCTTTGCCATGCGGGTGAGATACTCTCGGTAGCTTGCCAGGCTCTCTAAGAGAGGCGGAGAAATTGAACCCGAGTCGGCCAGGTTTGCCTCGTGCAAGGCAAATGCCCTATCCACTGGGCTATCGCTCCAGCCCTGTATAATTAAGCTTTAAAAAAATAAGCTTAATTTGTTATACTATATTCTTTCTCTCTTTATATTTTCTGAAACTATAACAATGCAATAGAAATTTATTTTATTCCAAAAAAAAAAAGGAATTTGAAAATAGTCCTAAGTTAAAATAACAAGAACAGGGCTGGAGTGATAGCACAGCAGATAGGGCATTTGCCTTGCATGTGGCCCACCCGGATTCCATTCCCAGCATCCCATATGGTTCCCCGAGCACCGCCAGGAGTAATTCCTGAGTGCAGAGCCAGGAGTAACCCCTGAGTATTGCTGGGTGTGACCCCCCCAAAATAAATAAATAAATAAATAAATAAAATAAGAATATAGTTAGTAATTTTTTTGAGAGTATAGTACTTTTCCAGGACTCTTGATTTTCCCTCAGTTCATATACTTTTCTATTTTGAGCCATATGCAAGGGAAGCACTCTACCCTCTGTACTTTCTCCAGTGCCAAGGTTCATTTTTCCTATAATGTTATTTAAACACATTTATTGATTTTTTTCATTTGAATAATCCATTGTTGAGAGTGATGTTTTTACATCCCCTATTTATTACTGTATCATTGTTCATATCTCATTTTGTGCTTAATATATTTTACTGTTCTGATGTTGGATACATAAATATTTACAAATATTATATGAAGTGACTCCTTTACCATTATATAATGTCCTTCTTTGACTCTTTTGACAATTTTCAGCTTAAAGTCTATTTTATCTAAAATATATATAACTATCCTTGCCTCATATTGTTTGCCATTTGCTTAAAATGTCTTTCCACGCCTTTACTTTCTGCCTGTGTAGTTAGTTTGTTTGCACTATTTCAGCAGATCTTGTTGTTTTATCCTTTCAGGAAAACACTTATAATAATATTATCTATAGACAATTAAGTGTGACTATTGACATTTTATATATTGTTTTCTGATGGTTTTTAAACCTTTGTTCCTTGTTTCATCATTACTGTCTGTTATCTGATTTTTTTGGTGATAACAGTGAAGTATAACAACACTAAATAGCAGCACTGCTTAACTTGAAGGATAGTTATTTGAGATGTGAAAGGATAATTTAAAAATGTTCTTTAATAACAGAAAACAGGGAATGTTATTGATATTTAAGGTTATCAGAGAAGTACAGCAGACTCAAAGCTAGCACTGTAAAATGAACAGGCTTATTGGAGCTGAATGGCACAGAGTTTCTGCCTAGACCCCAGACAGAGATGAGAACTAGAAGGCCACACACTGTATTTTCTGTCTCTCTCCTCCACTGTCTTTATAAAACATCACAGTGTTTTAACCTGCTTTTCTAACTAGAGTAACATTTGTTTTATATACTATCTTTATCTCCCTCAGTTCATCCATATGTTCATGGATAAAAAGGATTCCTAAAATAGACCCCAAATGACCACAGTCTGCAATCATTCATGTGGTCAGACAGTCCTTCCGATCAGATTCTCAAGATGAAATTAGCCATATTCATGGGCGAGTTCCCTGTAGATCTGGTTTTCATATGGACTTGAAACCCAGTATTTGGAACTCATGGAAAGAAAGATCTAGAGTAAGAAGTGGATTCTCTGAAATCAGCAGTGACCATTCTCTAAGACTCCTTTTGGATGTGGAGTTAAAATGTTTAGTCTCATACTTTAAAGAATTTTTTCAGACTTCTTACAAATTGAGTACATAAATCATGCTTCTTAGATAATAACTTTTTTAAAATGACATGAATTGGCCAGAGAGATAGTACAAAGTGTAAGGCACTTGCCTTGTATGCAGCCAACTCTGGTTCAATTTTCAGTGCCATATGTGAGTCACTGAGTACCTCTATGGATCACTCTGGAGCACAGAACCAGGCCCCCTTTAAAAAAAAAGACCCTAAGTGAATAAAGGCTATTCAGAGAAAATAATTCTCTTGTTTGGAGGACTTCAATGGATCAGAAACTAAATTCCTGTTTCCCAAAGTTTATTCTTCAAATTATTATTTCCTGAGAAGACAAGAGGTAGTTATTGGGGGAAAAAAAGTGTATAATAGACTCAGTAATTTGAAATAAAACAGATTTAACAGATCATTTAGGAGCCAGAAGGATAGTTAAACAGATGGAGTTCATGCTTTGCATGCGGCTTCAACCCCTAGTACATGATCCCTGATCTGAGAGTAGCCCCTGAAATGGTTAGGTAGGGCCCAACAACAACAACAACAACAACAACAAAAACAAAGTTAGTTAAGACACTTCCTTCAGCATTTCCCATACCTGTATAATTCTGGTATATATTTTGAATCTCAGAGAAGAGATAGAGTATGAGCTTTTGGCTGCTGACCTATTTTATTTAGAGGATATTATATACCTAAAAATTTTTAGGAAAGATGAAGTCATGACATTTACATACAAGTGGTACAACATGGAAAGTATCATGCTAAGCGAAATGAGTCAGAAAGAGAGGGATAGACATAGAAAGATTGCATTCATCTGGGGGACATAAAGTAACAAAATATGAGATTAATACCCAAGAATAGCTGAGATCAGCACCAGGAGGATTACTCCATAGCTTAGAGGCCAGCCGGGTATCCTAGAGGAAAGGGCAGTTCAGATAGAGAAGGGAGCACCAAATAAAGGATGTTTGGAGGATCCTCCCAGGAGGGGAGATGCATGTCGAAAGTGGACTATGGACTGAACATGTTTGCCACTCAATGCCTCTTTTGCAGACCACAACACCCAAAAGGAGAGAGAGAACACAGGGGATTGCCCTGCCACAGAGGCGGGGGGGATGGGGGGATGGGGGTGGGGGGGATATTATCTATGGTGGTGGAAAATGGGCACTGGTAGAGGGATGGGTATCTGATCATTGTATAATCGAAACCCAAGCACAAAAAATTGTAAATCTACAACTGTACCTCATGGTGTTTCACTAATAAAAAAAGAAGAAAAAAATTTGACAGAACACAGATTGGGAATCCCAACTAAAATAAACCAAGTCACATTTGCTTCCCTTGAACCCTGCATTTGTACTGATATTAATAGCTAACCACATAACCAACTTCACAAGACCTTAGTTCATATATATATAATTTCTTTGGAAAATGTTGCTGAAACTTAGATCCAAAGAATTTTAAAAAATGTCATATTTAGACATCTCCAACTCTGAACTCAATAAATCACCTTAACTCTAAAATATAATAGATACTATGATTAGAAGTAGTCACAATACTATAACACTGTTGTGACAACAGTCACAAATGGACTAGTCACAAACACTGTTAGAAATATCACTTTTAAGTTACTTCATTGAGTTGGGATGTAGTTCAGCACTGGGTGCACCAGCTTTGTCTGTGTGAAGCCCTGGATTCAGTCTCTGGCACCACAAAACTAAATAATAATAATAATAATAATAATAATAATAATAATAATAATAAGTGACCTGGTTATAATAAAGACCCAGAAATTTGAGGACTGAACAAAAGATCTCCAATGTTTGCTTTTCAGAAAATACAAGTTCTGAACTTAGAGTTGCAGCAAAATTGGAGGGAACTGAGTTTATATCTACAAAAAGTATCCTGCCCACACGGCAGAGTCTGGCAAACTTCCCGTGTCATACTCAATATGCCAAATACCAGTAACAGTGATGGGTCTCATCCTCCTAATCCTGAAAGAGCATTGAAATGGCTCTTTTAAAACCTCAGGGCTAGGTAGAAGGAGACGTTACTGGTGCCTGCTCGAGACAATCGACGAACAACAGGATGATTGTGATCGTGATCGTGAGTTTATATCTATTACCACTTAACATCAGCCAAGCGATAAAATAACATTTACTCATTCTGGCATTCTCTTAATTATATTGCCCAATTGATTCCTTAAGGAGAAAAATTTTAATAGACTTAAGTCTACTGAGATTTTTATTAAAAATAGAAGCACTTAGCTGGTTCTTCTTGTGTGTAGGCAGTGATAGCCAGCCATATGTTTCCTTTTTAAATATTAGTGGAGGGTGCAACATCAGCTGTTTCAGTTTGTGTGGAAGTTTTGTCAGACCTCACGTTTGCCAGGTTTTTGGTTGATTTTGTTTTTGAGTCTGTGGGAAGGTCCATAGTAACTTAGGGCAGCCTACTGATCATTTGTGTTCTTAAGAATAAATCCAGAGAAGCTCTTCCTTGCAGGAGAAGGAAGGATGGATTAGAATGTTATTATTTGGCATTAATTATAGTAATACTTATTGGTTGCAAGAGCCATAAAAGAATTGGATGCTAAAATTGGTGGCTAAGAGTGGGAGAAATAGGAGATTATAGTATCTCTCCACAAAAATAAGTAACGAATGGGGAAGGATAAAATACTTGATAATGGAGTAACTCATGAGATATCATCTTACCCAGAAGTATTCCCAGAATACTTCTAGCAATTTTGGGTTAGCCAGGACAGAAAGACTATCCAGTTAAATACCTTCTCTTGCCACACTCTCATCTGCAAGATGTTGAATATACAGTCCTCTCCCTGACCACACACAAAAAGAGGTCCTTCTTCTTATAAAGCCAGTCACTCTCTATACTTAGACTGAGATCCTGTTCTGATTTTGAGTGTGCATTTTCTTTTATTTTTGTTTTGGGGCAATACTCAGCTGTGCTCAGGACTTACTTCTGGCTCTGTGCTCAGGGATCACTCCTAGTGGGGCCCAGGGTAACATATGTGGTGCTGGGGATTGAATCTAGATCACCCAGGTGCAAAGTAAGTGCTCTAGTTGCTATACTATCTCTCCAGCCCCTTGTGTGTGTTTTCTGAGGGTCTGCTCTGTACTATTTATTGGGGAAGTATGGTGAGAAAAAATGTTAGGTATAGGTTAGGACAGATTAGAAATAGCACTTTGCCTTCCCAAGAAACCAAAAACTGATCATATATGCTATAAGCTCCTTTGAAGAAGTCTAAGATATGAAGCAACAGTCATCTTTTTAATGTGACATAATTTAATTGAAGGGGAAGGTATTGAAAACTCTCTTCTCTCTCTCTCTCTCTCTCTCTCTCACACACACACACACACACACACACACAAGCACACACCCAAAAAATACTTTAATACTTCACAAAAATATTGTTGAACAATTTAGGCAAGACATGTGCACCTTTTAAGGCTAGACTGATAGTATAGGACAGCGGGTAGAGTGTTTGCCTTATAGAAGCTGGGTTTGTTCTCTAGCATCCCATAAGGTTTCTCCTTACCCTCTGAGGTCACCAGGAGTAATCCATGAGTGTAGAGCCAGGAGTAAGCCCTGAGTACCACTGTTGTGGCTCCCCAACTGAAAAAGAGTAAAGCACCTCTTGGTGGGGATCTGATGGAGAAGGATCCCTCACACACTGTTGGTGGGAATGTTGTCTGGATCAGCCTCCATGGAAAACAGTATGGAGGTCTAGAGCGCTAGGACAGTGGGTAGGGCACCTGCCTCACATGCAGCTGACCAGGATCTACAACACCACATATGATCTCCCAAGCCTCACCATGAGTAATCCCTGAGTGCAGAACCAGGAGTAAGTCCTGAAAATCAACAGGTGAGGCCCCCAAACAAAACACACCAACCAACCAAATAAAACAGTATGGACATTTCTCAAAAAAAAAAAATTGAATCGAGCTTCCATCAGACCCAGTGATTTCTCTTCTTGGCATCTATGACCAAGCGCCCCAAAACCAATTAGAAAAGACATTTCCACTCCTATGTTCATGAAACACTATTCACAATAGCCAAAATACTACACACACGCACACACACACACAAACACACATTGGAATGACATTCAACTATAAGAAAGGATAAGATCCTCCAGTTCACTGAAACTTAGATGGAATTGAAAGTGTTGTGATGAGATGACTGAAAGGGAGGAGGACAGATACCAAACATGTAGAATATCAAGGAAGACAGGAAGCGCATAAAATCTAGCCAATGATAACAAACCCTGGACAAGACTATGCCTATACATCTGAGTCTGCTGAATTGAGGGGGGGTGAAGGAAGGGACTAGAGGCAGGAGAGGAGGGGCTAGATATGGTAGTAGCATTTTACTCCATAAACATTAAAGTTAACATAAGTACCTGTCACTGTGCTGAGTTTTTTTTTTAAAAAATAAAGAACTGAGCCCCATTTCTAATATAGACTTAGCATGAGATACAGAGAAATAGCTGGAATTCAAATATACTAGAAGTTTGAACCAATGGGGCTTTGTAATTGAATTGGCAATGAGATACCTGTTTTATTTATTTAGTTATTTATTTAGTTAGTTATTTTCTTATTGGGTCACATCAGCGATGCTCAGGGGTTATTCCTGGCTTTGCACTCAGGAATTACTCCTGGTGGTGCTCGGGGGACCATATGGGATGCTGGGAATCAAAAACGGGTCAACTGCATGCAAGGCAAACGCCCTACCTGCTGTACTATGGCCCCAGCCCCAGAGCTACCTGTTTTAAAATTTTTAAAGCTATCTAGTATGAGAGATAAAGATTTTATGCAAAGTGAACCGTCAGTAAGATTTTTTTTTGTATGCTTCAAAAATCAAGACATCTTCCACAGATGTGCGATGATTAACTTGTCCATCCCCAAATCAGTATTTCCTGAAAATTTTGTGGGTAAAAAATTACTGCCTTTGATTGTCTCTTCACAACTACAGTGAGGTTCTTAGTGAAGGTTTTGTTCTTTGCGTCTTATGGAAACAGCATGGAAACAGCACCCTCTCGCAGCTGTAGATTCCCAACGTGGGGGTTCTGCCCCTGACTTCCACTGTCTGCAGGGCACAGTCTGACCAGGATTCTTCCCCCAGGATGGATCATGAAGCTGCCCAGCTGGAGCAGCAGCACGTACATGCTGTGTATGAGAGCACCGCTCCTTACTTCAGTGACCTGCAGAGCAAAGCCTGGCCTCGCGTCCGCCAGTTCCTCCAGGAGCAGAAGCCCGGCAGCCTTGTAGCTGACATAGGTAACCCACCACCATGCCACGCAGGTGGAAACACATCCTGTCTTGTCTTTCCCTTGTAGATTCGTTTTTCTCCTAACCAGAAATCCGAGATTGTGTCCTTTCCACGCCAGCACCTAGATTGCATGTTAGAGCAGAAAAGCACACAGTTAAATGAGTATTTTCAAAACTATCTCAAATCCGGGCTGGAGTGATAGCACAGTGGGTAGGACATTTGCCTTGCCTGTGGCTGACACAGCTGACCCAAGTTCGATTCCTCTTGGAGCTACTGAGAGTATCTTACCCGCTCGCCAAAGCCTGGCAAACTACCCGTGATGTATTCGATATGCCAAACACAGTAACAAGTCTCACAATGTTACTGGGTCTGCTTGAGCAAATCGATGAACAACAGGAGGACAGTGACAGTGATCTCAGATCCACAAGAGATAATAGCAGTCTTATCAGAGCCTTTGCAGATACCTCCAACAAAACTAACCTGCTGGTAACAGAGTAAGGTGACAGAATTGCAATAATTGCTTCTGAAACTGGGCTATTTAGGCTTGGAGACATTCACATGTGAAAATACCATATTTTGGTGGGTCATTGAGTGGCTCTCTTGCCTTCTACAGAAAAGCCAGTTGTGGAATTATAAAAAAAAAATTATTTTAGGACTACATCTCATCAGTAGAGCACTTGCTGAACATCTGTGACACCTTGGGTTCAATCCCCAGTATTCAAAAAAAAAAAGTTCTTGGAGCTGGAGAGATGTACAGCAGGTGGGGCACTTGCCTTGCATGTGGCCAATCCGGGTTCAATCCCTGGCATCTCTGTTTCCCCAAGCACTGCCAGGAGTGGTTTCTGAGTGCAGGCCCAGGAGTTAGCCTTGGGTACTCAAGGTTATGGCCTCCCAGCAAACAAAAGTTCTATGACTTTTTCATCTCATGCACCCTTGTCCTTAACTATTATGTAGGGGTTTATTACTAGTGCCTGCTTCTACTTAGATCCCAGCATCTTGTGGATGTGTGGGAAGGTGGTGACAGGTAAGCGAGGGGACACGTGAGCAGCAGATTGTCATCTGCCTTACATCACAGATTCTAAATGGAGCAAAGAGTAAGGCAATAAAACTATTAAAGGAGTACATGACAACTGGATCTTTTTTTTTAATATTCTCAGAGGGAAAAGACAAGTCTAAATATGAGACCAGCAAAAGTCAGGAATCATAAAGTATGGTTGCTTGTTATTATCCAAAAATACATACATCCTATAAAGTTTCTGTGAACACTGAGTCACTTCCTCAAGGGAAAATGTGGCATCAGTTTCCAGTGTGCTTCTGAGGATCACATTCTTGACAACTGAACAGTACCTAACCAGTTTTGTGCACGTCTCTGTCTCAGGGCTCCTTGTTACATACTGTTGACTCATTAACACTGACCTGATGGCCCGTTCACTGCAACTTGGGCCTGAAAGAACCTCATTAATGCACCATTTGTCCATAAGACACACTGCAGCCTAATTGTGCTTAGGGATCTAGACAGTATTCCCGTCCCGTGCTTGGGGACCACGTTAGTGAAACAACCAGAAGCACAAAAATGCAAACCCAAAACCAACCCAGCATAAATAGACTACCTGCAGAACATGTGCCAACAGCTTGAGAGTTGAGGGAGGAGGGAGGATGGTCACGTGTGTCTCAGGCCACTCGGAGCCGTCACTGCTGCATGAGTGCACTGGCAGTGGGTGAACCAGTGCCTGGTACCAGGACTGATTGTGGGTGTCAAGCTTAGGGGAGCATCCCCATATGGAATCGGCCAGCAATAAGGATCAACTGTGTTTATTTATTTATTTATTTATTTATTTCGATCATCTGTAATTGGGAGGGAAGGGAGTGGGCCATACCCAACAGTCCTCGGGATTATACCTGTCTCTGTAATCAGAAGAATCAGGAGTGACCCCTGGTGGTGCTCCAGTAACCATGCGGAGTGCTGGGGATTCAAACTGGAATCAGCCTCATGCAAAGCAAGCGCCTTATTATCTCTCTGGCCCAATGTGGTGATATTTTTAATCAGAAAATATTCAAGTTCTACAAGAAAAAAAATCTAAACAAATTTGTATACAGAGTCAAAAATACCAAACACTAAGTAAGATGCATATAGCCTGTCTCGTAGAAAACTTGGCTGTTGGGTAAGAGAGAGAGTAAAGGGGGTTATATTGCTGTCTTTGTATGTTCTGATCCTGATTCAATCCCAACACCCTGAGCACTAGAGTGAAGCCAAAAAAAAAAAAAACCAAAAAATAAAAAGGGGAAAAAGAGAGACAATACAGTGGATAGGATGCTTGTCATACATGTGGCCAACCTGGGTTCAATCTCCAGTACCACAGTTTTGAATACCATCAGGAGCGATCTCTGAGCTCAGAGCCAGGAGTAAGCCTCAAGCACAGCTGAATATGGCCTTTAAAAAGAAAAGAATAAAATCCTGACTTTAGGATCAGGGGAGTGTCGAGAAAGGTTTGGACATACCACTTGGTGCTCAGAGCTTACCCTGACTCTGTGCTCAGGGTCACTCCTAAAAGCGCTCAGGAGGGTTCATATGCTATGCCAGGGATTAAACCTAAATTGGCTGCATGTAAAGCAAGTGCCTTAACCCTTGTAATATCTGTTTCTGTTTTCTTAATCTACAAAGCGTTTTTCAAAGCCAGTAAGAAAGCCCAACAACTCAAAAGAAAAAGGGATGAAATGATATGATCAAATACTTCCAGAGGATAAATTCTAATTGCTTAAAATTTTTTAATAGGGAATACACTTCCTGGTTTAGAACAAAGCGGAGGTGTTATTTATCACATAATGTAGTATGCTATACAAATAAATAGTCATATTCTGGACCAGAGGAATAGTATAGTGAGTAGGATATTTGTCTTGCAAGCAGTCAGCCTGGGAACAATCCCAGCCCATATTTGGTCCCCTGCCAGGAGTGATCCTGAAGCACAGAACTAGAGTATGCCCTGAGCACTGCCGAATGTGACACAAAAACAAAAATCACACAGGTAATAAATATACGAAGGCAATCAATCTTCAAGTACCCATAAAGGATTTTTCTAGGATGTTTCACTGTTTCAGTGGTGCAACTCTTCGTGACTAAAATTGAACTGACTGTACCATCCCATTCCCCAGTTAGGCAGCAAGAATTAAGTTGGCAGGAACTATAAGCTATAAGCTAAGAAAATAACTCTGGCAGTTCAAAGGCAGCAGAAAAGCAGAATATTCTTAGGAAACACTGTGATCTCTGCAATTGTAGCAGAACCTTTAGCTGAGCTGAGCTGAGCTGATCAACTAAGGCCATTAAATTATGTATGCAGAATATTCTCTGGTTTGACCTCATTATTTGGATTCCATGACAGTATGGTATCTTGGTAAGTGAAGCTAGTCAGAAGGAGGAGGACAGGTCCAGAAAGTCCTTGCTCTTGCATAGGGAATATAAAGAAACCCAGTAAGAGGATAACATATGGCCAATGGCAACAGACTCTGAGAGTCAATCTACAGAACTGAGCCTACAAAGGCAGAGATTGTGGTAGGTGTGGGAGGGAACCCTGGACAGTGGTGGACGGATACCCTGATGGCAGGCCAGGACTGAAACACACCATATGCCTGACACTATCATTAATGATGTTATAAATCTTGGTGCCATAAAATCAAATAAAATAATGAGGAGGAAGAGAGTAGCTAATTTATCTTGTGAATAAGGCTACCTTTGACCAGATGTCAGATGCAACAGTCCTCAAGGACTGAGCTCTCATTGACTATAACAAAACATCTCTCAGTCATTGATATCCCCTTTGCCTCTAACTCTCCATGTATTTGTTCCTGGTCTTTGGTCAGATTTGCTTCGCTAAATCACTATCTAAGTATCATTCCTTCACTGAGTTCATAAAAATGTAGTGTTTCTAACCTTATTGGGCACTGTGCTTGCAGAATAAAACATATTCTCTCATATACAACCTCTAGGAATCAATGTAAAATAGGAAATAAGTAAGCATTTTTTCTTCTTTGTTCCCCTGAGAAAAAGAGAATTATCTTTTCAGATAAGTTTCTTGGCAAAGAACTTATCATTTTAGAAAATGTTGTTGCTGCAGCAAACTTCAGAAGGAACATTCAGATTCATGATTTGTAGCAAATACTTGCCTACCTTGCAGCAAAATATCTTTTTGAGTTAAGGCAGTTTTGTTTTCTCCTTTGTTCGTAGTGTGGTGTGCATTGTAAACTGGATGGGGATGGAAGAATGCAGACACTCCAGACACTCGGTCTTCTTGCTCCAGTGCCATGAAGGTTATCATTTAATGAGATTTTTTCAAGGAGCAGAGTTGCTGTGTACTGCAGCTTGCCATAACATCAAAAATGTCCTGATTTATTTCTTGTACACTTAAGATAATGGGGTGACTCGGCTTGGCACTATTCCTGATTTCCTCATTAGGATAAAATCTTTCCCTTTGCAGCAGTATCTCTGTGTATGCACTTAAGAAATGGGTAATTGCATCATAGTTGGGAGTTCCACTACTATCCTGATGCCATTAGAACTGAATACAGAATAAATCTAGGGTTCCTGGGCACTATAAATGGTACAGGAGATTTGAAATGCCTTCAGTTTTTGCATTGCTACAGAATGCTCTCTAAACAGGTCCTTCTAGCTCTAATTGCTCATGAGCTTGTTTTGATAGTATTTTTGAGTCAATTCCCTCTTCATTTCTCTAAATGCATTCCCTGAGCCATTTTTTTAAAGGCCAAATTAGTTTTCAAGCCTATTTTTCTTAAAATATGACTTCGTCTTTAAAATGCTCAAGATTTCTTGGAGCCAGAGAGATTGTACAGAGGATAGGGTGCTCACCTTGCATGCGGTCAACCTAGTTTTGATCCCTGGCATCCTATGTGGTCCTCCAGGCACTGCCAGGAATAATTTCTGAGTGCAGAGTCAAGAGTAATCCCTGAGCATTGCTAGGTGTGGCCCAAAAATCAAAAAAGTAAATAAATAAAATTTAAAAATAAAATGCTCAGGATTTCAATTTTAGAATACTTTTGTAAAGCCCTTGATTGTTCATAAATATTGGATACTTTCACTCAGCATTCTTAGACACAGTGGTTCTGAAATCTAAAATATTTTTCTAAGGCCCCAGTCATACATGCTGAAATCATGATATTGGAAACATTTTCTACTTACATATCTTCCACTGTCTCACCTAGCATTAAAGAACATCAATTTGGTGGCATAATGCCACCAGCAGGTCAACCTGTACCTGCAGGGCAAGTGCATCAGCAGTCTGATGGTGCCTTCAAGCTTCCTAATATCTCCAAAATTGCTGCTGTGCCTTTGGCTGGACCCCAACAACTTGGGACCAAGTTAACCAAGAAATTAAATGGCCAAAGGTTAGATATGTGGGAGCCATGCCCACGAACTACCTCTGGCTCAGCTTTACAAGCTCATTTATTGGCCTTATTTAAGCGACCCATAAATAAATCTTGAAAGAGATCAAAAACCGCAGTTAATCTCAGACCCATGCAAGGCTGAACAGACAGGGTAAATGGAGTAGGGCGTGTCAACCTAGAGCCCACCCAAGCAGAGTCCCTGGCAGCTGCTTGTTTCCACAATCCAAAATCACCGCCATACCCCCAGCCTGACTGCACTGTCTCAAGATGGACGTCACTAAGACATAATCTGCTAAAAATTCTGGTATGCAAGTTTTATGACTGAAATCTCCAGGCTTTCTCGGGATTGGGAAGGCTACCTCCCCCTACCTCCCTGTACTTCCAGAAGCCTTGGCAGTCACATCTATACCCCAAAACTGTCACCCGGTTATAAAACTACTTCAGCCTTACCGTCCTGATAAAATTACTGAATGCCCTGAACACACACAATGACCTTTTAGTACCTTTATTACAAACCATAATGCACAAAAGGAAAAGGAGAGAGAGAGAGAGAGAGAGAGAGAGAGAGAGAGAGAGAGAGAGAGCAAGAAGGAAAATGCCTCCCATAGAGGGAGGCTGGGGTAGAGGGTGGGTTGTTCGGGGAACAGGGGCATTGGTGGTGGGAAATGTACACTGGTGGAGGGATGGGTGCTGTATCATTGTGTGACTGAAACCCAATTATGAACAGCTTTTAATGATCTTTCTCACAGATATTCAATTAAAAAATGTTTTTAAAAAAAGGTATGTGGAATTTATGCCTGCTTCAGTCAGCTTAATCAGTGGCTGAATAAATAGCAGCACTCCTACATTTAAAAGATGAACATTAATTCTGCTTTTAGTGTCTCATATGATTTTTGAACAATTCCTAATAAGGAATAGTTATAAGAGTACTGTGACATAGCTCAGACATGGGAAATTGATCTCTTTGTTTGTTTGTTTGTTTGTTTGTGTAGGGCCACACTCACCCATGCTCAAAGGTTACTCTGCTCTCTGGATTCACTCCTGGCAGGGCTTGGGGGACTGGTCACATGTGGTGCCAGGAACTGCACCTGGGTTGGCTATGTGCCAGACAAGTGCCTCACTACCTTTGGTCCCAATTAATTTTTAAATAGCACTAGATATGGTTTTCAGACAAGTATCAGGCAAGAAAACTGATAGCTAATGCCCACAGGAAAAATACCTGCTCTAAAAATATTTTTAAATAGTTCTTTTAGAAGAGGCATTAGATGATACGAATTTTCAGCACCTAATAAGAAAAAGTGATGAACAAATACGGTGACAGAGTTCTATGCTAAAATATACCAGGTACGAGGGCTGGAGCAATAGCACAGTGGGTAGGGCATTTGTCTTGCATGCAGTCAACCCAGTTCAATTCCCAGCATCCCATATAGTCCCCTGAGCACCACCAGGAGTAATTCCTGAGCGCAGAGCCAGGAGTAACCCCTATGCATTGCCGGGTGTGATCCAAAAATCAAAAAAATAAAAAATAAAATATACCAGGTACTGAGCTGGAGAGATAGCACAGGGATTGAGGCACTTTGTTTCAATGCAGCTGACCCTGATTCCATCCCCCGCATCAATCACATGGTCTTTCAAGCACCACGAGAAGCAAATCATGAGAGTAGCCCTTGAGCGTTGGTGGGTGTGGCCCCCAACACCCCTAAATAAAAACAAAACAAATAAAGATAAAAGTATATTTGCAATTTACAGAAGAAAAATACTTATAGAGTTAGCAACTATGCTGTAACTTAGAAACAAACCATGAAATACGTGGGTGAAGGTAACTTTTGTAAGAGATTGCACTGTTCCTGACAGACAAGGAGCTCACATGTCCTGCAGGAGACCAGCTAGCACATTCTGGCTGGGCTACCATGCCCAGATCTGTGGACATTCAATATTTGGTATTTAATAAGCAGTATTAAATTCTATGTTAGATTGGACTGGAGCAATAGCACACTAGGTAGGGCGTCTGCCTTGCACACAGCCAACATGGCCAACCCAAATTCGATTCCTCCTCCCCTCTCGGAGAGCCCGGCAAGCTACCCAGAGTATCTCGCCCACACGGCAAAGCCTGGCAAGCTACCCATGAAGTATTTGATATGCCAAACACGGTAACAACAAGTCTCACAATCTTACTGGGCCCACTCGAGCAAATCGATGAACAAGAGGAGGACAGTGACAGTGACAGATTGTAAACATTGGTAAATATTCAATAAATATTATTTTAGCCCCACTCCTTCTCCCTTCTCTATAGGAAAATATGTAAGTGATCTCTGTAAACTTCTTTTCTTTTTGTGCATATCATACCATGCTGTAGTCTGTCTTGGTAGTTCATGTAGACACACTACCTACTGTCCACTCTCCCTTCGGCATTGCATGTAACACTTTTTTTCTCCTCTCTTGTAGGTTGTGGGACTGGAAAGTATCTTAAAGTGAACAGCCAGGTCCACAGTCTGGGCTGTGACTACTGTGGGCCATTGGTAGAGATTGCCCGGAGTAGAGGATGTGAAGTCATGGTATGTGACAACCTTAATCTCCCCTTTAGGGATCAGGGCTTCGATGCCATCATCTCCATAGGAGGTAAGGCAGCCTGGCCCCATGTTTCCTCACCCCCATGAGAATAATGATACATGATTGTAGATGCTCTCACAGATCAATATCCATTCTTCTTAGAACATGCTACTCGATTCAGTTTATCTATTTCTTAAAGCATTTCAGTCTGTTGGGTTATCTGACTAACATCAAATATGCTTACAATGGTATATATGATTGCTCTAATTAGTTAAACCTTCAGAGTGCTATTGAATTCATTTGATGTTCCAATTTTTTTTAGTTAGGAGAAAGAAAGTTATTAGAATATTTTATGCATTGAAAATTGTTCTTTATCTGGGGCTGGAGTGATAGCACAGCAGGTAGGGCGTTTACCTTGTACGCAGCCTGACCCGGATTCAATTCCCAGCATCCCATATGGTCTCCTGAGAATGGCCAGGAGTAATTCCTGAGTGTGTGGACCAGGAGTAACCCCTGTGCATCGCTGGGTGTGACCCAAAAAGCAAAAAAAAAAAAAATAGTTCTTTATCATATTAGAATGAAGTCAGATTCTTCCAGTGTGAATTAGATTGGAAGACTTGGTGCTTGTTACATTTATGAAACTACAGGGGACCTTTTTTTAACTTTGTAGTGAGATAAGTAAAGTAAAGGCCCTCCCGTTGATCATCGATTTGCTCGAGCGGGCCCAGTAACGTCTCCATTGGAGACTTTGTTGTTACTGTGTCTGGCATATCGAATACGTCACAGGGAGCTTGCCAAGCTCTTCTGTGCGGCGAGATACTCTCGGTAGCTTGCCGGGCTCTTGGAGAGGGGCAGAGGAATCGAACTCGGGTCGGCCATGTTGGCTGCGTGCAAGGCAAACGCCCTACCGCTGTGCTACTATTTTTTAAATTTAAATTTATTCAATTTTTTAATTGGATCACAGAGAGATACTCAGTTACAAAGTTGTTCATGATTGGGTTTCAGTCATATAATGTTCCAATACCCATCCCTTCACCAGTATACATTTCCCACCACCAATGTCCCCAATTTCCCTCCCACCCTCACCCCCACCTCTATAGCAGGTTACTTTTCTTCGTCTATTTTCTTCTCTCTCTCTCTCTCTCTCTCTCTCTCTCTCTCTCTCTCTCTCTCTCTCTCAGTATGTTTGTAATACAAATACTGAAAGGTTATAATGTATATCCCTTTACCTACTTTCAACACTTAGTTCCTGTCCAAAGTGATCATTTCCAGTTATTACTATCATACTGGTCCCTTCTCTAAGTGCCCTTCAACTCCTACAGAACTGTGACAAGCTTCCAAGTATGACCAGTCCTCCTGGCCACAGGGTACCTTTTATTTATAGGATACCGTGGAACTTATATCCTGAGTGCTACCTAGAAGGATGTGTCATGTGACCAGTCACTAGGATGTGTCATGTGACCAGTCACTATTTCTCCCGCCCCTGCTCCTACACTGCATGCTTCCCTCTGCTCTAACTGCTGAAGTTGCTCCTAACAGGGAGTACATTCCCTCATAGTTCCCCAGCGAGATGCAAAACACATCTAATGCTATTCAAAAATTATTGGTTGCACCAGAGAGATAGTACAGCTGGTGAGGTGCTTGCCTTGCATGTAGCCAACCCAGGTTCAATCCCCAACACCACATGTGATGCCCCCAAGCCCTGTCAGGAGTGATCTCTGAGTGCAGAGCCAGGAGGAAGCCCTGAACACAGCAAAATAAAAATTGATCTATTTGAGGGGCCAGGTAGGGTAGCTAGCATAAGCGTTAGGCATATGCCATGTGTGCCTGATTCTTGTTCTATCCTTATCACTACATATAACCCACTTCCAGTGTCACTGGGTGCAGTCCTGGAGGCCTGCAACTACTACCTGATGGCCCTGGTAGTCCCAAGTACCACAAGTCCCAAACAACACTGCATCGTGGGCCCAAGCCCAACCATCTGGCCCAGTTGGCAGAGACTGACTAACTCATCTGCAGATACCCAGAGCACCACAGGAGCTACCCCGTACCTCCCCAGAATTAATCTGGGTCAGAAACAGCTCAACAGGCTGGAGCACATGCTTTGCACATAGAAGGTCTGGGTTCATCCCTGGCACTACTGATTCCCCGAGCACTGCCAAGAGCAACCCCCCAATCACAGAACCTGGAGAACCCCTGAGCACCACCCCATATGCTTCCTAAATTAATCTATTTGAATATTATAAACATTGTCAAAGCAAACTGATCCTATATAAAAGTGAGTAAGCTTTTAGAAATTTAGAATAGCTGAAAAATGGATTCTTTTTTAACATTTGTTGGAGACTATACCTTTAAAGAGGGAGGTCACACAAGCTTGGATGTCAAAACACAGAACTACAAGCTTGGATGTCATAACACAGAACTAGGTGAGACTGGCAGGACACAATTGTCATAGAAACCTGCTTTGTGGCAGTCCCACTGTTTTTGCTGTGGAAACTGAGAGCATTCTTTAATTCTAAGTATTAAGAGGACAAATTCTGGTTAAGTTTAGCAACTCTCCGCAATGTTTTGTACCTTCAGTCATCTCTGGTTGATTGTTCTATCCACTGAAATTCTTAGAAATCAAAACAATGTCAGACAAGTATAGATTTTGCTTTTTGTTTGTTTGTCTTAGTTTTAGGGCTCTAAAGTTGTGGCTTTCTGGAGTTGTGCCATGTTGTGGGCATGGGGGCATAGAAACAAACCAGCTTTGTTACTGTGGTGAAATGCCCCACGGGAAGTATTTGGGGACTAAGGGTTAGGTCCTTCTCTGCTTTCAATGTGTCTCATGGCTACTCGAAGAGGAAATGGGACCCTTCCCTGCCCTGAGTACCCCTAGGACTCACCTCCAAATTAATTAAGAAACAAATGGTCACTGGGTGCAAGGGCAAAGACCAAGGGCTGGAACAGATGCTTTGCTTGCAAGAGCCCTGGATTCAATCTCAGGTACCACGTAGTTCCCTGAACATTTCAGAGAATGACTCCCCCGACCCACAAAGCACCAAGTCTGGTATAGCCCCCCAAAATCCCCAAAACCCTCTGCAAAAAATAAGTATTTATTAATGAATTAGATATAATAAATGCATAGAGGCCAGAGCAATAGCACAGTGGGAAGAGCATTTGCCTTGCCTGCAGCCGACCTGGGTTCAGTCCTCAGCATCCCATATGGTCGCCCAAGCAGCACCAGGAGGGATTCCTGAGTACAGAGCCAGGAGTGACACCTGAGCATTGCTGGGTGTGGCCCAAAAACTGGAAAAAATGTAATAAATGAATATAAAGACAAATTTATTTGAAACCTAGAATTCTGAAACATTGAAGACCTTTCGGTTTTCTAAAGGTAGATAGTAATGGTTAGATCAGTAATACAGCAGGTAGGATACTTGCCTTATATGGAGCCAACCTGGTTCAATCCCTGCCACACCATATGGGGACCAGAGCCATTCAAGAGTGATCCCTGAGCACAGTCAAGAGTACGACCCCCAAATTTGACCCAAAACCCACAAAAAGAAATAAAAATTAAATTAAATTAAAATATTGTGATAAGAGCCTACAAGTCTATAAAAATATGCCTAAAATCACATTTCACAGATCACAGATCACATATCATCCTGTTATTCGTCGATTGCCTCAAGCAGGCCCCAGTAACGTCTCCTTCATCCTAGCCCTGAGATTATATTCAAGGCTCTTTAGGAGAATGAGACCCATCATTGTTACTGGTATTTGGCATATTGGGTACGCCACGGGGAGTTTGCCAGACTCTGCCGTGTGGGCAGGCTACATTCGGTAGCCTGCCAGTTTGTCAAAGTAGGAATGAGATGTCATAATAAGATGTCATCGTGGCCGCATTTGCAGCTGCGAGGTTCCGGGAGCTGGTTTTTATAGTCTCTGAGTCTTGGCTGCTGATGGGATTACACGGCGCCAGGGGGCCAGTTGGTGGGTGTGACCCCCACCTACTGGAATTTGGAGGATCTGGGTGGAGGATGCTCGACTCCAATCCGAGTAGGCTTGGAGATCTCGGCCCCGGAACCCACGTGGCTTTGTCCCTCTGCCGGTACCTTCAGGTGTGCGGAGAGTGGTCTCACATGGTGGTGGCTGGTCCTGGAGGTCTTCGGCTGCCAGGGCCCTGGTCAGGGCGGGGAGGAAAGCACAACCCGCTCCCCTCCAAGGGGCCCCGGCGAGGAATAGCCAGGCGCGGGGGCAGGGGACTGCACTGTTCTCCCTCTGGGAGCTGGTTTTTATAGTCTATAAAAACCTATAAAAACCTATATAAAAAATCACATTTAAGTCTAGACAAAGACAGTTTTGCTTAATGCACTAAATACTGCGCAGGACTGGAAGTACTAGGAGTACCTATAAATGGAATGTTTTTAAAATGGTACATAAACACTTTACATGTAACATTAATACTCCTGGCGCAGAGTCCCAGACTCCATGCTAGGCTGTTTTCACTTGGGGTGCCCCAGAGGGGGCGGGTGAGAGCCCTCCCTGCCCCAAGGGACCCAGCCCTGGCAACCGACCTCCACTGCCCAATTGCCATCATGCTCCAGGCCACTTTCTGCACACTTGGGCTGAGCCTCACATATGAATGAACATATTCCTGCAACGCGCAGCCGCGAAAGATCATAAGACACTCCTTACTCATTTTCCATAATTACCACACCATATATGTTAAAGAAATATGTACATATATGCCTCTCGGAGAGCCTGGCAAGCTACCGAGAGTATCCCGCCCACACAGCAGAGCCTGGCAAGCTAACTGTAGCATATTCGATATGCCAAAAACAGTAATAATAATGGGAATGACCCTGACCTGAAAGAGCCTCCAATTTGTTGGGAAAGACGAGTAAGGAGAGGCTGCTAAAATCTCAGGGCTGGGATGAATGGAGATGTTACTGGCACCCGTTCAAGTAAATCGAAGAACAACGGGATGACAGTGATGACAGTGATGTAGTGATTAACACTCCTACAATTACAGGCAATCATTTGGACTTGTGCTTGGCCAAGATTATTATCTGAATAGAAAATAACATTGGTTTCTACTTCTCTTTGCTATTAATTTTATTAATACTCATTACCACTATTAATCTTTTCATACATTAGGAGTACTAACCAAACCACAGGGGCTGGAAAGACAGTACAAATTTAAAGCACTTGCCTTGTAGGCAGCCAACCCTGATTCAGTCCCCTTCACCCCCACAGTACCCCAAGCACCTCCAGAGTGTTCCCCAGAATCCCCCCCAAAAGAAGCACTAACCATTAAAGTGATTAATTATTTCACAGAATTCCATTTGGGAACATTTACTGAGTTAGTGCTTCTGTGTAAATTGAGTTGATTCTTATGGGTCATCCTCCTGCTTAGCAAAATTCAAAGGAGTGGGGTCCTGGACAAGCCCTTACATGTTATTCATCCCAGGTGTTTTTTTTTTCTAGGTATATTTTTAATAGACGAATAAACTTTAAATCTACAGAAGCCAAATAATTGCCAAAGATCATTTCTCTGAGAAGTCCTGAAGCCGGGGCCAGGGAGATAGCTCAGGGGTCTGGGGCTCAGGCAAAGTGCTAGGTCCGTTACCTCAAATCTGGGTACCACAGGGCTCCCACACAAGCACCCTCAGTTACTCACTGAAGACCCCATAACACTGCTCTCTGCTTAGAACCCTCCCCACACCCTCCTGCAAAGCAACAACAACAACAAAAGGATAGTAACCAAAGCTAAAGTTCAGGGGCCAGAGAGATAGTACAGCAGGCCAGGTGCTTGTCTTGCACCTGCCGACCTGGGTCTGATCCGCAGGATCCCATATGATTCCCTAGGCACTGCCAGTTGTGATTCCTAAGCTCAGAGCCAGGCAATCCCCTGAGCATTGCCAGGTGTGGCCCAAAAACCAAAACAAAGTGTGGAGGGAAGCTAAAATCCATAATATTCTTATGGTTTGTACCATTTCTTCTACCTGCCTCCTTCCTTAGGAAATGACTTTTCTACCTGTCCAAACTCTGTCATTATTTTGTAATACATAGCAGTCCTCATCAAATACAAATGTCTAAATAAATGCATGTTGATGTATGTATCTCGACAGACGTTGCAATCCAGTTCCTTCTTTTTCCAGTCATACATCATTTTTCTACAAAACAAAGGCGAATCAGGGCAATCAAGGAAATGGCCCGCATCTTAGTCCCCGGAGGCCAGCTGATGATCTATGTGTGGGCCATGGAGCAGAAGAACCGGCACTTCGAGAAGCAAGACGTTCTTGTCCCGTGGAACCGGGCCTTGTGCTCTCGGCTCTTGGCGGAGCCCAGCCGGTCGATGAGAGAGCAGCAGGCACAGCCGGAGAGGAGGCAGCCCTGCCCTCGACCTTGCACCCACTGGACCCGCGCCTCCAGCCTGCAAGAGCGTCGGGACTCCAAACGGTGCCACAGCGTGGACAGCGGGCCTGTCGCGACCACCAACTGCTGTGCAAGCGTCTCCAAGACAGGCGAGGGAGAGAACGGATTCTATAACACACTGGAGAGATCTTTCCGCTCCTGGTTTTCCTCCCGGTCCTTCGATGAGTCCACGCTGCGGAAGCAGTTTGTGGAAAGAGCCAGAGCCCTGACGGGCACAGAGGGCTGGGCCCCCACCCGCGCCGTGTCCACGCAGCCCTGCCGACACGCCAGCCTAGACCTGGCGCACCCAGGCCCGGTAGAGCCGACTCTGGATGAGGATGTGTTTGTGGAAGCATCTGGGAAACACCTGGAGTGGCCGAGCGCGCCGGCTGCCACGCGGTCACTCCAGGGAGATGGTCCAGACGCGGTCAAGAGAAACGGGGATGCGCGTTTTCTGGAGGGCAGCGGCCCGCGCGGGGCCAGTGCAAAGGCAGGTGATGCTGAAGGGGACCCTCCCGCCGGCCAGAGGCTGACGAGGGTCTCCGCGGTCCACTCCACGGTCTCCAACCCAGGGGGTCCCAGCAGGGAGCAGCAGCGGCCTGAGAGCTGGGAGACCACGGCCTTCATGCGCTACTACCACGTGTTCTGCGAGGGCGAGCTCTGTGAGCTGCTCACTCAGCACGTGTCAGAGCTCCGTATTCTCAGCTCGGGAAACGACCACGGCAACTGGTGTCTGGTCGCCGAGAAAATTGCCAAGCGGCACTGTGAGTGACGGGGTCGCTTGAGACATTCTGGGTGCAGCCGGCCGCACAGACTGAACTCGGGACCTTCTAAGGTGTCAGAAAACGTATGAGCTGATCCGTGAGTGGCCACATACACTCAAAACACACATGCACTTTGTGTAATATTACTCTGGATGGTCCTGGAAGGAGGGAAATGTTTTCACATCATGTTGGCAGGACTAAATAAAAAAGAAAAAAAATTATAATAGCAATCGTTTGCTTTGCATTGACCAAGCACAAGAATTCTATGCATCCAGATATTGTTTTGTATGCTCCATGGTTGATATCTCTCTTTGGGGTCAACAGGTGAACGTCACTCTTGAAGAACTATTGTAAAAATATCTCTATCGTGTAAAAATCTCGCTCATCTTTAGAACTGTCTTCAAAGAGAGACAAGTCATAAGGGAGTTGAAACAGACACAGGCTGTTTGTCAGTGCGCCGTGCACCTTAACTTGATCAATTATGGATTTTACTGAGCTATCTAATTTGAAAACACAGACTCCGTATTAACACTGGAGCCAGCACACTCCTTCCTGTTCCTTCTCCTGGAGACGGGTATTATTGTAGAGTATGAAGCCGAGCAGCCGGTGAGGAGATTGCTCAAGGCCCCCTGAGCACCCCTGTTGGTAGATGGATGCCTCATGAGCTCATGCAAAGAATTCCAACCTCACGCTCAAGTGGTTTCAGGGAAGGTGCTTTAGCAGGGACAAAGGGTACAATCAAAGAGTGTTATGGTGATCACCATGTAAGTGGCCTCCTTGCATTGTCTTGTAAAGCGTTACTATAGTAATGAAATGAGACCACATGTCATAATGGCTACCACATCATCTAACAAATAGCTTGGACTATCACAGAGATGTCCTCCTTTCTTATCATGCATTCCTTTACACAATAGTATGTGATGCTTGTCACTAGTTCACTTTTCTCTGCCCTTCCCAATTCTAGTTGTCAAGCAATCCTCTGTAATTTAAATGGCCATCAATCAAAGGGGCAAAGAGGTGGAGGAAATCCAGAGATATAGTATCCAAATATAACTCAGCTCAGAAAAATGAATATATGCTAATGAGTCAGAAAAAGAGTATTGGTGGGTTAATTATTTTCAATAAAAATTAATGAGTGTGGAACTGAAAAGATAGTACAGTGAGTATGGCACTTGCCTTGCACATGACTGACCTGAGTTCAATCCCCAGCATGCAAATAATCTAAGAATGGCCAGGAATGATCCCTGAGCAGAGAGCCAGGAATAAGCCCTAAGTATCATGGTTATGGCCCATAATACAATAAATAAAGAAATGTTTATTCTTGTGGTTAACAGATGGTCTATAGAGATTGAACTTAACATGATCACGATCATCCTGTTGTTCGTCGATTGCCTAGAGCAGGCACCAGTAACATCTCCTTCGCCCTAGCCCTGAGATTTTAAAAAGTGCCATAATCAAGGCTCTTTCGGGGTTAGGAGAATAAGACCCATCATTGTTACTGGTATTTGTCATATTGGGTCCACCACGGGGAGTTTGCCAGACTCTGCCGTGTGGGAAGGTGACATTCAGTAGCCTGCAAGGTTGTCCAAAGTAAGAATGAGATAATAAGATGTTGCGTGGCCGCAAATGTGGCCGTGCGCTTCCAGGAGCTTGGGGGGGGGGGGGGCAGTTGGTGGGGAACTTAACAGGGAAGGGGAATACTTTAAAAATAAGCTGTGAGGGTGAGAAAGATATTACAGGTATTTCTCAGCCTCATTGCCTGCAATTGTACCCCCTTTTTTTCTGCCCTACAATATCCTATTTCAATCAGTGTTCTCCAAGAGAAATTACATCTTGGCAAGGATGCATCGCATCCCCTGGATCTAAACTTGAATTCCAAATGCCACTATTTTAATCCTTCTCTGAAGAAAAATGCACAAAACCAGGTTTCAGTCCATTAACGCAGGAGGTCTATGAGATAAGTGTTATCACAGACCCATCCAACAGATGGGAAAACCATGGGAGACCAAGGGAATTGCAGGAGCTTAGGCAGACCCCAAACCAGAATGTTCAGCTCCAACTCATCCCAACCTTAACTCATCATGATGATTATTGATTTGATATTAGAGATTAACAATTCCTTATTTGCTATCTTGGTTGTTACCAAAATGGGCTAGAGAGAAAGTATAGGAATTGAACTGCAAGCCTTGCATATGCTGACCACATTTCCATCCCTGGCACCACATATGGTCCCCCAGAACTGATAGGAATGACCCCTGAGCACGGCTGGGTATAGCCCTAACTGCCACCCCCTCCACACACCACCCTCCCAAAAATCTACAAAACTGGAGTAAGAATATTTTAAAAGGACTAACCTACTAGTATGCCCTGAAGAGCACAAATCCAGAAACTTGAGTTCATCAAAGTGGAAAATGCTAACTGTGAACTGCCTTATTTTGGATTCACCACAGTTCCCACAGTATGCACTCAGGGGAGCATGAATCATTTCAGACTGAACATACATCCTGTGCTCTCTACATGGAGCTCTTCTCCAAAGGAGTCAGCCAGAAAATTGTCTCTGGTAGGAATGTAACTCTTATATAATCAAGATAACCAATCTTTTCTCTATCACCTGAGAGAGGTTATTAACAAACTGGCAAACAAATATATTTTTAATCTTTTCTTGTCAAAGAAATCCACCACTTGGCAAACACATACTTTTTTTTAATTGATTCTTCAGTTAGAGCTGAGAAAAATAAGGTTCACCCTCAATCCAACTACTAACTAATTCACATGAATTTTCTCTGTGTGGAATATTTCTTGTTCTCTGGACATTGCCTGCACAAAGAAAAGATGGCAGCAAAGTGCAGCATTCAACTCAGTAGCCAGTGTGGACTTCTGACAAGGTTACATCTATATTTATGCTCACCTGTGGGGAATTCAGTTGAATGATGGGTGTTCCTCTAGTGAACAGATACTTCCATTAGATTCTTAGATTCTCTCTCTCTCTCTCTCTCTCCTCTTTCTCTCCTTCATATCTCTATGTTCAGGAGCTAGCTTTTATGTTCAGGGGCTATTTCTGGCTCTGTGCTCAGGAGTAATCCCTGGCAGTATCCTCAGGGGCCCCTTATCAAATTGGGGTTGGCCGCATGCAAGACTACCTTAGCTTCACCTCTGGCCTCTCAATTTTCTACATATGTTTGGTGGGGAGGGAGAGTCATTGTAAAGGTCTGTCTTTCCATCACTGATTTATACAGGATAAAGGTTAGAGTTAATGTTCATCCATGTGAACATCAGTGGAATTTCTAACACTTTGAATATGTAGGTGAATTCAACTTTTCTGTAGACAGTCTCTAAGGTATGTATTATGTAAATATATACACACATATGTATATATACACACATACATATGTATTCTTTGATGTCTAGCATCTGCTGTCATTATTGACCAGGAGAAAGCAGCTCCTCTTCAGCTCTTGTGAAAATATTCAATTAACAGTTACCAGAAAAACATATTTAATGGAGCAGATCTTACTGTTCTGAGAAATTTCAAAGAACTGTTAAATGTAGTTGTGTCCCTTCTGCTGTTAACACATATACTTGTATATATGCAAAAACTTTTTTCTATAATACACAATTACTTTAGCTTTCCTTTGAGCAGCTAGAAATAGTTGTAAAAGCACAAACTGAAGTAAAGTATTGTGACTGCTGTAATATTTGAAAATAGTATTTACAACAAATAACAGGGTTATTTAAGATTTTTTATAATAAATATTACAAAATAGTATTTTTATGCTTAATATATTCAACGTTTTTTCCTTAATGGATATTTGGTTTTGTGTATCTATAATTACAAAATATTTTATTTTTTAAATTATTATTGCCATTTGATATGAAGAATGAGCTTAATATGCTTTATTAGTTTTTATACTATTAGTTTAAATCTTTCAATTGGAGCAGTTAGAAGATATGCTTCACATTCAGTACTTGGTTTTCAGTTATTGTCATAGTTGAAAAATGTTCCTCGAATATGTCCAAGTATTGAGGAAATGCATTATGGACTCTGCTATGTATTCAAATTTTTAATTAAATATTAACACTTTTTCGTTCATTTGTTTTTTGAGTGGAAGCCACATCTGGTGGTGCTCAGAGCTTACTCCTGGTTCTGCACTCAAGGATCACTCCTGGCAGTGCTCCAGGGACCTTGTGGGGTGCTGGGGATCAAACCAGGGCCAGCCACATTTAAGGCAAGCACCCCACCAGCTGTACTATGGCTCCTGACCTCAACATATTTTTTAAATGTTACTAGATGAACAAAACTTTGCCTGACCGGACACTGCTTTTTCTTACTCAGCCATACAGACAGCCAGCACTCATCTTGAATGCTCCTGATAAAGCATTCATCTTGCATGCCCCTGGTTCAACCTGTGGCATCGCATATGGACCAGGAGTAAGCCCTGAGCCCTGTCCGGTGTAGCCTAGCCCCGCTCAAAAAAAAAAAAAATCTCTGTAGCCATAGAGATAGTACATGAGGGGTTAAGGCACTTGCCAATCCTGCCCAGTTCAAATCCATGGCACTACATAAGGAACCCTGAGTACGTTGGATGTCGTCCAAATCTTCATCCTGGAAAAAAAAAAAACCAGGAGCTGAGGAGATAGGTAGCACAGCAGGTACAAGCCATAATGCCCAAAAGAAAAAGAGAAAGAGAGCAAGAGAAAGGAGGGAAACTGTGGACATTAGTGGTGGAAAATATACACTGATGGAAGGATGGGTGTTGGAACATTGTATGACTGAAACCCAATCATGAACAGCTTTGTAATGTGTATCTCGTGGTGATTTAATTGTTTTAAGAAGCACAGCAGGTAGGGTGCTTGCCTTGAATGTGGCTGGCCCTGGTTCGATCCCCAGCACCACATATGTATGATCCCCTGAGCCCCACAGGAGTAATCTCTGAGCACAGAGCCAGGAGTAAGCCCTGAGCACCACCAAAAGTGTGACAAAAATAAAAGATAAAAACACAAAACAAACAAAAACTTCTGTTATTGTCTTTCTTTTCTGAATGGGGCTAGGCCTTCCAAGCAGTGCTCCAGGAGTCTTGGCGGCATGGGGAAATATC